GTAGATGTATCGTTATACCAAAATTGGACGCCCTCTTTTAGTACCCTGGCTAAAAGCCTGGATAGAGCTGTCCAATGTAAATGAACCTGGGATCTTTAGGACCAACGCTAACAACAGTTTAGAACTGATAGAGCTGTCCAGTGTAAATAAAATCAGTTTGCTTCTATAAACATGTGAATGATATATTTCTACAGAGGCCGTGAGGCTGGCAATACAGATACAGAGACACTGAGTGAAAAAGACAAAATGCTTGAAGCGAAAGAAGCCGAGGTATGTACCGTAACTATGTCTACCGAGCACATTGCCTGGGGTGGAAAAACTATATCGGACCACGGATCGTTGGTCGCGGTCTGGAGGTCCCAGAAAATATCGTTTCTCCAAAAATGAAAAGATTTAGATAAAAGGAGAAATTCTAACCAATAGAAAGAGTGTTACCTGTACTGTACCTATGACTTCAGAAATGCAATTATAAGTGCACACATCTTAATAGTGCAATAGTGTATAAATGTATTAGACTATAGAATGATGTCACAAATGTTGTTTGGCAAATGCATTTGTATAGCCAATGGGCCTATTCCCTATAATGAACAAAATTTTGATCTAGACAAGTCAAGACAAACATTTCACCACAGCTTGAAAGAGCATCACAAAATTCGTAATATTCCGAAGTTTCGTTGCGAAATGTTGTAAAATGCGGATAATATAGCCCTGCGAAGTTTGCCGTTTTTTAGTCATTTTGTATTACGCACGGGTAATTGATACCGCTTTCTGAAAAAGGTATCAACTTCCCCCTTAATCTCAAACATGCTTATTTATTTTCTTGTATTACTTTCAGTTGCGACGAATGCAAGAGATGTTGGCGAAAATGCAGCAACAGATGCAAGGGAGTAATATTTGACTTGTTAGATAAAAATGTAGCTAGAATTTGGTATTTTTCATTCAGAGACATAGTCATCTACATTACCTGCATTCCTTCAGTTTCTTTGCGAATTCGATGTAATATTTGCTTTGATAATTCTGATAAATCTCCTCAGTTTTTTTCCTATATATAGTGTAGAGTTTTTGATAAACATTTTGTTGAATAGTTGGACATAGCTTTATATAAAAACATCACCTATATAGTTATTTTCATAATATACAACACGAGGTTTTTGCTCAAAATCTGTGACTATTGTTTTTGTAGAACAGTGAACTTTCTCTCTAGATAGTTTGAGTATAAGACACAAAAACCTGTTCACGCGCATTGGAATATGTAGTTTTTTGCATGGGCGCGGTTTATACGAGGCGTGCTCGGAGCTAGACCGGGCTGATTCCCGTCACAACTCACAAAATGAAAATAAAACATTTCGTTGAAAAATTCCAGCATAAGCAGGCGGCAGGAAAAAATTCGTACAAGCTAAC